AACACATGGGATTGGAGCCACTCCTGTTGCCTTCTGAGGCCTCCTGCTCCTGGGCCTCTCGGGGCCTCCTGTTGCCTTCCGAAGTCTCCTGGCGCTTCCTGTGGCCTCCTGGGGCCTCCTGTGGCTTCCTGGGGCCTCCTGGAGCTTCCTGGGGCCTCCTGGAGCCTCTTGGGACATTTTGTTGCCTCTTGAGTCTTTCTGTGGCCTCCTGATGCCTCCTGGGACCTCATGTGGTTCCCAGGGGCCTCCTGGAGCCTGTTGGAGCATCCTGTGGCATCCTGAAGGGAACCTGTGCCCACGAGTCTGGCCACCAAAATTGGCAAACCGAGCGAGACATCCTCAACATCTGGCCTACCTGGGGGGTGACAGAGGGCGCCTCGCTCGAGACATCCTCCAAATCCGCTCCGAAAGCAAAGGGTGTTGGGACAGAAAACAAGCAAACCGCTTGAGACATCCCCACAAAACGGCCGCGAAAGGGACCGTGTCATACCCCTCGGCGGCCCCCCTTAGGGGCGTGAAAATGAACGCCTCGCTCGAAACATCCTCCAACGCTGCTCCGAAAACGAAGGATGTTGGGACAGAAAACAAGCAAACCGCTTGAGACATCCCCACACAACGGCCGCGAACGGGACCGTGTCATACCCCTCGGCGGCCCCCCTTAGGGGCGTCAAGATGAGCGCCTCGCTCGAGACATCCTCCAAATCTGCTCCGAAAGCAAAAAATGTTGGGACAGAACACAAGCAAACCGCTTGAGACATCCCCACACAACGGCCGCGAACGGGACCGTGTCATACCCCTCGGCGGCCCCCTTTAGGGGCGTGAAAATGAGCGCCTCGCTTGAGACATCCTCCAAATCTGCTCCGACCGCGAAGGGTGTTGAAACAGAAAACAAGCAAACCGCTTGAAACATCACAACAAAACGGCCGCGAACGGGACCGTGTCATACCCCTCGGCGGCTCCCCGTAGGGGCGTGGCAATGGGCGCCTCGCTCGAAGCATCCTCCAAATCTGCTCCGACAGCAAAAGATGTTGGGACAGAAAACAAGCAAACCGCTTGAGACATCCCCACAAAACGGCTGCGAACGGGACCGTGTGATACCCCTCGGCGGCTCTCCTTAGGGGTGCTGAAACCAGCGCCCAGCCTGAGACATCCTCACAACCTGCTGTGTGTAGAGTAAATCAGAAGGCCTGAGTATGAGTAAGTCTTGGTATGAGTGAGTTTCAGCATGAGTTGGTCTGAGTATGGATCGGTCTGGGTATGAGTATGTCTGAGTATGAGTAGGTCTGAGTATGAGTAGGTCTGAGTATGAGTAAGTCTGTGTACGAGAAAGTCGGTGTATGAGAAAGTCTGGGTGTGAGGAGGAGGAGGAGAACAATCATAGGAAGAGGAATAATAAGTAGGAGGCGTCCAATTAATAACAAGAGCCCCCATTTTAGGACATGGGAAGCCAACAACAACACACGGTTTCGCAACACTGATTTGCTAAACAAGCTTACGCGCGAGATCTTGTGAAGTCTTAAGGAAGCCACGCGTTTTCAATATTGTCACAACATGCTACCAAACGGGCTTCGCGCGCGCATGTCGAAACCTGTCGAACGCCCTTGCGCGTGTGCCGTCGCGAGAATCCTCTGCAGAAAACAAGACGAAGTGCAGACGCGCGCGTCGTCGCGCGCGTATGCCGAAATCCTTCAAAACCCATCGGTTTCAGAAGGGTTTCAAAACCGCGTGCCAAAAGAACATACAAAAACACCAAGCTTCGCAACATGGATGTTTAACAAAAGCGTGCGCGCGCGCTCTTGCGTCGTCGTCGTCGTCGCCGTCCTCCCTCCTCCCTCGTCGTCGTCGTCGTCGTCGTCGTCGTCGCCGTCGTCGTCCTCTATCTTTCCTCGTCGTAGTCGTCGTCGTCCTCTTTGGCGTCGTCGTCGTTTCCGTCGTCGTTGTCGCCGTGGTCGTCCTTCCTCCTCCCTCGTCGTCGTCGTCGTCCGTCGTCGTCTTCTTCCCTCCTCCCTCGTCGTTGTCGTTGTCGGCGTCGCCGTCGTCCCTCCGTCTTCGTCGTTCGCGTCGTCGCCGTCCTTGCTCCTCCCTCATCGTTGTTGTCGTTGTCGCCGTCGTCGTCCTCCCTCCTCACTCGTCGTCGTCGTCGTCGTCTTTCCTCCTCCCTCGTCGTTGTCGTCGTCGGCGTCGCCGTCGTCCCTCCTTCTTCGTCGTTCGCGTCGTCGTCGTCCTTGCTCCTCCCTCATCGTTGTTGTCGTTGTCGCCGTCGTCGTCCTCCCTCCTCGTCGTCGTCGTCGTCGCCTTCGTTAGTGACGTCTTCGTCGTCGTCTTCGTCGTCGTCGTCGGCGTCGTCGTCGCCGTCGGCGTCGTCGTCGTCCGCGTCGTCGTCGTCGTCGTCCTCGTCATCGGCGTCGTCGTCGCCGTCGTCGTCGTCGGCGTCGTCATCGTTGTCGTCGTCGGCGGCGTCGGCGTCGTCGTCGGCGTCGTCGTCATTGTCGTCGTCGTCGTCGTCGTCGTCGCCGTCGTCGTCGTCGTCGTCGTCGTCGTCGTCGTCGTCGAAGTCGTCGGAGCCGTCGTCGGTGTCGTCGTAGTCGTCGTCGGCGACGTTTTCGTCGTCGTTGTTGTCGCTGTCGTCGTCGGCGTCGCTGTCGTCCCCAAGTGCCATTTGGTATCCACCGTCGTGGTCTGAAGATGTCTTGCGACCAAGTTGCGGGTGGGAGGTTGGGATGTTTGCACGAGCAGTGGAGAGGACGGCTTCAAGACAGTCATAATGAATTGCACCACGTAGACTGCTTTACATAAACTGCACAACCTAGACGGCATCATATATATTACATCAAATATATTGCTCCACATAGATTGCATCACGTGGATTGGACCACACATATTGCACCCCTACAGGCGGATTTTGGGCGAAAAATTATAAATACCCCAAACACATGCAGAACACATGCCCAAACATACTCAACAAATCGTCCCCAGACTCGATTTCGACTATTTTTGAATATTCCGCCTGTAGAGGGACAGGCCCGACTCAATCCTAGTCTGCCTATCCATTCACGCGGCTGCCTCACTGCATCATGATGGCACTTGCTTCTCGCAGCTGACCCTGGGCTGAGATGATCGCCCCCCTCCCCTTCCCCCCCGTTCTTCTCGGCGAAGCCGTGCCGCTGTCCGCCCCTGGAGGCGATGCTCCGCCCCCAGAACCCTCGGTGCGGGATCCCACCAGGATCGTAACAGGATCCCAAAGCGACCCGACTCGGATTCCAAGACGATTCTTGCAGGACTGCTAAAAATGCTTCCTGAGGGTTCCTGAAGATTCTTGGGCATCCCTCAAGATCCCCCAAGGATTCCACAAGGCTTCCTGTGGATCTAAGGACTCTTGAGGACTTCCGAAGTTCCCTGGGGAAGGGTTCCTGCGGGTCCCTGATCGAATCCTGAAGTTTCCTGCCAGATTTCCGAAGAGGGGAGGAGAAGCTGCTGGGCCGCTTACATCAAGAGTTTTTTTGGGGCAAGGGGTTCCCTCCCACCGTATGGGGAGCCCCGACAGGATGTGACCTAGCCTTCCCGATCAGTCAGGCCCAGTCAACTTCTCCTCTTCCTCATCCTTCTCCTCCAGGGGCGTCCAAGAGGGGGGTCCCAAATCGCGGCTCGAGGCACGTGCGCGGCCAAGGGGGACCAACAGACGCATTGAAAGAAGAAGAGAGGCCACGATATCCGGGCAGATATCATTACCAGGCCGTAGTATCCATACCCATACACACACACTGACACTCATACTCGCACGCGCACTCACACTCACATACAAACGCGCACCTTCTTGGCCGCCTCCGACTCCTGTTCCTCCTCCTCTTTCCCTCTCGTCTGGGTACTTCGATGTACTCCGGCTTTGCTAACAGTTGCCACGGCTGTCACAATTCGCAGCCCTCTGGCAACCCCTACCACTTACCAACTCCTTATCAACCTCTGCCAACATCGAAAAAAACTTGCCATGCACACGCAACCTCTGTGCAGAAATCGCAGCTTAGCTTCGCTTGGACAATCAAGTACCTTAGCTGAAGGATTGTGTACACTTCGAAATGGTTCCGACAGCACGTTGCCAATCAAACTCTGCACCCTTTCAAACGCTACTGTACCACCGCACTAAATTGCGTTAGTTGTAACACCTTCATATACATACTAAGCTACGTTGCCACACACACACACCCGTAGCTCTTAGTTAACCTGGTTAGCTAACCTGGCGGGTAACCGTTAGCAACCAGTAGCTAACCCCAAAATCGTCAATTGTAGTCCCGTGGTCCTTTCAATTTTCTGCCCTCGCTGGTGTTGCTAGCCTTGTTAGGGGTTTAGCTGACTTAGTTAGCAATGGTAGCTAACCTGATCAACGGGCTTAACTAGTTGACCAGGTCAGACCAGCCCGCAAACTTACCAAGCCTATTCGTAACACGTAACTAAACTCATTGGCACCCCGATGTAACGTTGACCCACGCCCCGCGCGGTAAGCCGCGCAAGGGAGTTAGCGGCGAACACGTTAGTAACAATGTAACAGCTCCTTGTAAGAGAGCGTGAACAATGCAACCGCTTGTAATGATTTCCAAACTGGCCGCCCTCCCAAGCACCCGTTTCCACTCTACTCTGGTCACTCCCGTGCTATCTCCTCCTCGCCCTTGGCACATTCCTCGCCGAGGCAGGCGTACAAGAGGAGGGCAAGCGAAACCGAGTTTATGGAGCAAGCGACAACCAAAATGCTCCAGGGACGCAGCTGGTACCGATACCGGGCTGGCCCTGGCTGTGCTGTGGGCTGCGGCTACTGGGCTGGGATGCCGTCGGAACGGATTTTTTGGAAGAAGAGGATAAAGCTCAATCACAGAACTTCAAACGACACGGCCTCAACCTGGGATGCTGTCGGGAACTATCACCCATCGAGTCCAAACCCATCGCCCATGAGAAACGGGCTATAAGGATGATTTGAGGAACGCTGGCTCAAGGGAAGCTGCTGCAATCTCCTTGACGGGCGCAGCATCCCTGAGTCTGCTCCGGCGGCTCGTAGGCCAGCTTTGGCGAGGTTGGTACAGCATATGCCTTAGTACGACCGAAAACTGAATATCCATGCGCGTATGCAAGGCAACATAATGAGGGCAAACTGAGGGCGGAGCAGCAAATAAGCAATGGACGTGTCAACAACTGAGAGATTGCACCAATACAAACCAGCAGAAACTGAGAGCTAGACGGACAATGTAAGCAACACGGGCAAAACAGAGGCGAGTAAGAGGTATAGATCGTGACAGAGAGCGAGAGAGAGAAAGGGCCAAGGAAACACACAACAACAGTCTGAACATGCAACGGCTGATAAAAGGCTATCGCCGACAACGTAGGACAAGTGGAGACAAGTGGTGATGATGTATGTCAATTACTCAGGCTGAGGGGTATCACATTGTATCACTCTCAGTGTCTTCTCCCACTCGAAAATAAGCAGGCGGATTTTGAGAACGTAGACTGACGCAGACTGGCGAACGCGCGTTCTGCATACTCGTTTCGGTCGAGGCCCGCGGCCCGCGTATCTGTACACGTCAAAAAACCGGGGAGACGTAAGACACGGGTACGGGGGACTCGGAAATCCCCGACGAGGTCGTCAAAAAAATGACGAGGCCGAGCCTGCATTTTGACGAGGCCTCCCGCTGCAGACATCCCACGGAACTCCTCCTCGTCAAAATCCGAGGCGCGGTCGTCAAAAAAAATGGCGAATCCGAGTCCTGGCAAACCCGGGTCTTACGCTCCCCCGAAAAAAAGGCGGCGCGCGCGAAGGGAGGAGAAAGACCTAACATCGATCACAATAACTAAGAACCACAACTCATTCACTCTTCGCTCCTCGCTCCTCGCTCCCCCTCCTCCCCCTCCTCCTCCTCCTCCTCCTCCTCCTACTCATGTGCGGCGCAGGTTCGCAGCTGGGAGCCCCTAGCCTCGTCTCCGCCTTCGTGTGGCTCTTAGGTGGCACCGCAACGGCATCTGCACATCTTAGAGACGCTCAACCCGTTGGCGAAGATAGACGGGATTCAGGGTCACGCAGCGCACTTTTGTATTTTGTTCTGGCAGGGTGCCGTATTGCTGTTTGTGGTTTTCTTCAAGGCGAACGTGGTGGAGTTTTTCCAATTCCAGCCGTTTTTCCGTCTGCAGCTACATACTTGGTGGTTGCCCTCCCAGCTGATCGGAGCGCTAGGGGCCGTTTCCCTTGTGGCACACCGTCTGGGGTTCAGCGGCTTGCTACCGGTCTGTCTCCATTGTGGTCTACCCTCCCAGGCGGTCGGCGTGCTAGGGGCTGTTTTTCCGTTGTGGCACACCGCCTGGGGTTCAGCGGCTTACTACTGGGCCATGGTTTGTGGGCTTCGTTTCAAGGGACCTGAGGGCTCAAGGGCTTTCGCATCATCTTCGTGTACGGGGCTGGCCTCTTCATTCAAGAATGGTGAAGTGCATTGCCATGGTGGTATCCTTCGGTTTCGTCTTCAATGCCCACTTCGGCATACTGGTTTCCTTGTCAGAGTACTCCAATGCTTGCCTCTGCTTTGTATGTCGGTGGAAATGTTGATGTGTCGGTCGCAGCCTTCTCGATTCAGTTCTGGGTGAGACGGGCGGCGTCGGAATTGCCTTCGGTCTGCATTGCTTCGCAGGGCGGCTATCAGACGGCTTGCTGATGCACCTGTCATGTGGTAAAGTCTTGTCCGAGGCTGTCATTCCCCGCAGGCGTCGTCGCTTCAGGTCTCCATGGTCATCGTCCAGTGGAGTCGGGGAGGCGAGAGGTTTTGTTTAGGAGAGCTTGACTCTAACTCTTACTCTCACTCTCACGCTTACTCTTACTCTTACTATCACACTTACTCCTCCTCCTATTCCTCCTCCTCCTCCAATTCCTCCTCCTCCTCCACTTCCCTCCGCGCTCCTCTGTCCTCACTTCCGCCTCTTCTCCCCTCCTCCATGTTCCTTCTCGCCTTCTCCTGCACTCTGCATCATCTCCCCTTTCCTTCTCCCTCTTCCCTCCCTCCCTCCCACCTCATCCTCCTCTTCCTCGCTCCTCCCTCCCTCCTCATCCTCCCTCCTCCTCCTCCTCCCTCCTGCTCCCCCTCCTCCCCTCTCCTCCTCCCTCCTCCTCCTCCTCGACGGCAGGTGGAGCAGCCCCGCTGCTTCGCCCTCTGCGGCGAGGAGAATTGGGGGGAGCTCGAGGACGGGGGGAGGAGACGGCGACGAACGCCCAGAGGGGGAATGACGATGACGATAAAGGAACAAATAACGGCATTGACATAAACTTTCGGAGCTCTGTGCGGACTCCTCGGTCGGCGCTGGGGCCCCCTGGCGGCGCCTCCAGCGCCGCCCCTGACGCGCTCCGCGCAGCAGGGAAGGGGGTGCAGCGCCGATTCAAGAAGTCTGCGCGGACCTCCGAGTTGTTACATTAGTGTCATAGTTCAGTTTTCCAGAAAAGGGGGGCGAACGACGAAAAAGCAGAGCTTTGGTGCGCGGCTTGCCGATTTTCCATGCGGTGCGACAGCCGCGTCCTGCGAGCTTTGGCATGGACCCCCGGCGCGCCCACCGAAAGCCGCGCGCGAAAGGTCACTCCAGCGAATGATCTCTCTTATGTCTAGCCTGAGGTCGGGCATGTCCCCCTGCCTTAGGTAGGTCGGTCTGGAAACATAACAAATAGTCCAAACATATGCAGAAATATCTTAGAAAAGTGAAACATCGTCCTCTTTGAACATTCCTCTTTAGAGGGACAGGCCTGGCTTGAGTTTAGCCGACCGTGAGGGGGGGCGAGGGGTGGGAAAAGGCTCAATGACTTGGGCTCGGTGATGCGTCGCCGACAGACCGGCGCTGGGCCCCCTCGATGATGGGACCGCGCGCTCCTACGCAGGGTCGGAAGCCCAAGGCCCCGATTGGTGGCGAAAGGGCGATTGGGGAGTCGGTTCACGGGGCACATGCCGACCCCCCATCCCCGTCTTCGTGGGGCGTCTGGGCGGGCCACAAATTTTGGGGCCCAAGTCGGGGATGTGCGATGGGGGGCGCCCATCCTCGACGTGGGGCGGGTGCGTCCGAGTAGCCTCCCGGGGGAGTTTCCCTCCTTCTCTGAGCGACTTTTGATCAGTTCGGGGTAAAATAAAGGATTGGACATGTTCTTTTTCGCAATAACGCAACGCCCGTGACAGGCCCCGCCCACCCCACCCCTCTCCACACTGGTAAAATCACGATTCGCGCCAGCGCCGTCTGGGAACTGGCCTTTGGACGCCCGAAATGGGTATGGAAAAAAGGAACAATGCCCAACAACAGACGTTGTCCAAAACCGACAGCGGCCGCTGTTGGGCAAGCGGCTTTTTGCCTTCTAAGAACAACGTCCGTGGCGGCGCGGACAGCGATTCCTGTTCAAAGTGAACAGGAACTGCTGCTGGGCATCATACTCATTCTTTCCATACCCGTTTCGATCGTCTGGATGGCCATTACTGAGCATTCCCAGACGGCACCAGCGCGAAACGTGACGTTACCTGCCCCCTCCTGCTCACCCCCATGGTGACAGGCTATTGCCGCGAGGGCATATCATTAGGTCGGGCCTGTCCCCCTAAAGGCGGATTTTGGACGAACAAATATATCAACAAATACCCCACAATAGTAAAAGCATCGTCCCCCGACTATTTTTTGAATATTTTTGAATGGCCCTCCTGTAGAGGGGCAGGCCCGACTTGACGTTACCCGCCCCCTCCCGCTCCCCCCCATGGTGACAGGGGCGCTGCCGCGAGGGCATGATAGCAAATGTCTCTTAGGGGCGACCGCTCGCCTGCGATTCTGCGATCGATGTCTCCACCCGGCCCAGGGCCAGCACCCCCCCCTCGTGTCGGCGTCCTCCTGCGCGGGGCGAGACCAGATGGCCCAGTCCTCCAAGGCGTAAAAACAGGACTCCGCGTGGAGACCCTCATGTGGGCGACTTCGGAATCCCCGCGGCCTGCCTCCGGGAGCAGAGGAGCCCCATCCACGACACGAGCCGTCCGCCCGAGAGCCACCCCCATTAGCTCTCTGGCCCCCATTAACCACCCACAGGCAGCCCGCGCGCGCGCTCGGGCAAGCCGGATAACGGCACTGCACGTTTCAAAGTCGGGCATGCCCCTCAAAGGAGGAGTACCCCAAAAAACGGTGAACAGTGCCAACATAGAAGAATAATTAAACATAGTCTGGGGGCAATTTTTTGATTTTGTCCAAAGCCCGCGTGTAGGAGGACATGCCCGACCTAATGCAAAGAGCCCAGACGCAAGGGGGGAAGGAGCGGGAAGAGAGGAGCGGACAGGGAAGACCATCTGGCCGCGCACGGGCGAAGGTAACACCCCCCCCTGGCGGCACCCCTTTTGGAGCCGATGGGAACGACCGAAGCTCCGACCACATCGATATCGGATGACCTGGGCCAATGCAAACCCGGGTCAGTCAGGCCTCGCAGCATCCCGCAAGATCCTGCAAGATCCGGCGCCCAAGCCCCTGTAGGATCCCGTCAGATCCGGCGCTTTGGCTGACCCCCACTTGCATTGACTAGAAGAAGGAAGAACCACATAAACAGAAACTTTTGGCGCTCCGCGCGGATTTCTTGGATCTGCGCTGGACCCACCTCCCTGGCGCGCTCCGCGCGCCAGGGGCGGCGCAGGAGGCGCAGCGGGAGGGCCCCAGCGCGGATCCAAGAAATCCGCGCGGAGCGCCAAAAGTTCATGTTTATGGCGTTTTCTCGTCTTTCGGCGGTGGACAAACCTCCCTTTAGGAAACCTCCCTTTAGTGAAAACGGCTCAGGACCGAAACCGACGGACCTGGACCCGCAAAAATGACGGCCGCGACGCCCTCTCGCGAACCGGAAACGGCCAATTCGCTGATCGACGTGTCAGGGTAGGAGGTCTATCAACCTCCGAGTCTTCGATTGGCCCCCCTCCCTTGAGCCCCGACGCATAGTTGGACGCCCGAAATGGGTACGGAAAAAATGAGTACAGTGCCCAACTACAAATGTTGTCCCAAACCGACAGCGGCCGCTGTTGGGTAGGCGGCCTCCTGTCTTAAGTAGACACACGCAGGCCGCGGCGGCGCGAACAGCGAGTCCTGTTTAAAATGAACAAGAACTGCTGCTGGGCATTGTGCCCATTCTTTCCGTGCCCATTTCGGGCGTCCAGATCTCTTGAGCCCCGACGCAGTGGGCCCCCGCTGGCGCTGGCGCGCGGCCTCCAGTCGAGCGTGGCCGCGGCCGCCCCGGCGCGGGAGCCGGCGCGCGCCTGGGCGCGCGCAGCAGTGCCCTCCAAAGGCCCCCCTGCCGCCGCTGCGGCTGCTGCCCCTGCTGCCGCTGCTGCTGCTGCTGCTGCTTCTGCTGCTGCTGCTGCTGCTGCTGAGGCACTCCTCCTCCTCCTCCTCCTCCTCCTCCTCCTCCTCCTCCTCCGCCGCATTTCTCCTCCTCCTCCTACTCCTCCTCCTCCTCCTCCCCCTCCTCCTCCTCCTCCTCCGCCCGCCGCATTTCGCCTCCTAGAGCTCTCCTCCCTCCTCCTCCTCTCCTCCTCATCCCTCTCCGCATCGCCATTTCGCCTCCTCGAGCTCCTCCTCTCGAGCTCCTCCTCCTCCTCCTCCCGCCTCCTCCTCCTGCTCCTCCTGCTCCTCCTCCCTCCTCCTCTTGACCACAACGGCTCCAGCCTGCGCTCGGCATGAGAACCGTGGTGCGGCCGAGGCCCCCCGCCCCGCACACGGCCCCGGCCTCTGCGCGGCGGTCGGCGCGGCTCCCGGAGCGATCCCGCTGCTGCTGCGCCTCCAACCCCCCTCGGGTGGGCCGATTCTGCACCACCACCACCACCGCAGGCAAGACGGGGGAGAAGGGAGGATAGGGGAGGTCCTCCTCCTCCTCCTCCTCCTCCTCCTCCTCCTCCTCCTCCTCCTCCTCCTCCCATGGTAGTAGTGGTGGAAAACTGGCCAATCACCCTCTTCCTCGGACAGCGGTAGCGGCGTCACGGCTCTCTCTGCAGTCCAGCCGCGACCGGAAGGAACGCAGGGTCAGGGACGCAGTCCCTCTCTGGCCCCCGAGGCGCCTGGGTGCACGACAAGCGCCAGAGGAACAGCCATGGAAGGACCGCAGGAACAGCGAACCCCTTGGGGGCTGGACTCGCTCACTGGCCAGACCCCGCTCCCAAGAAGGGCTCGAGGCTCGAGGATGGAGGATCGAAGTCCGAGTATCGAGGCTCACAGGATAGAGGCTCGAGGCTCGATGCTCGAGGCCAGAGGGTCGAGAATCGACAATCGAGAATCGAGGTTCGACGGTCGAGGATGTGGGAGGCCAACCGCGGACTCTGAGGGGCAACGCCAGGTCGGAACCAGATCAGGGGGGCACATCGAGAGCTGGAGTCGATGATGCATCGCGGGAAGGATCGGTGACGGAGCCCAGATGGCGAAGCCCGCACGTCCCTGGGCGGGGTAGGCCAGGGCTGGATCTAAACGCTGTTGTTCGTTTGGTTTTCGCTTTGCTCGACCTGTTCTCCTGCACCTCCCTCCCAGAACGCACAACAAAACACAGCCGAAGTCCAGACAAAAAACAGCGTTTAAGTCCAGCCCTGGGGTAAGCTATCGAGCCCCTTCCGTCGATCAAGGGGCGAGTGGGGTCGATGCGCTGTCCCCGCATGTAGAGAGCAGAACATCCAGCCTCATATCCACCCTCATACTAATCGCCCCGACGCGCGACGTCGTTTGGCAAACGCACCTGAGAGGAATCGAGCACGGTAGGGCTGTTTGGTAAACGCCCATGGCCGTTGAGTGAACGCCAACATCGGGTCCAGGTGCTTTTTCCTCCCTTGACCCTGCGCGCTCCCCCTAACCTTTCGAAAGGCCGCAACAACGCACTCTTCGACAAGACCCCTACGGCCCGGGCGACAGCTGGTACGGCGGAGCAACATGCCATGTCAGAAAACGTGAGACACGGCCACAACGAAGAGAAAGGAGGACGATCACAGGGACGGAGAAGACAAGGCGACACAGCGAGGAGGAAAGACGCCCGCAAACAGAAGAAACGCGGTGCTCGCGCGTGCGTGCCCCATCCCCACTCACGGCCAACGCCACAGGAGGCGTCCGCGCGCAGATGCCCGACGCGAGACGGCAGCATGACGGTCTGAGCACAGAAACATGCCTGGGCCCGCAAAGCGAGCGAGCGTACAGCGCAACAGGCATGATGGGCCTGTTTTCCACCACCACCACCACCATAAGTTGGAGGGGGAAGGGGGCCTCCTCCTCCTCCTCCACCTCCTCTCCTCCTCCTCCTCCTCCTCTCCTCCTCCTCTCCTCCTCCTCCTCCTCCCTCCTCCTCCTCCCCACCCCTCCTCCTCCTCCTCCTCCTCCTCCTCCTCCTCCTCCTCCTCCTCTTCCTCCCTCCCCCCTCTTACTTATCGTGGCGGTGGTGGAAAACAGGCCCATCAGGGCAGGACAACAAATGACGGGCGCACGCGCACGCCAAGAGCACGACACCGGGGCCAGAGGGCGCGGCGGTGCCAGCGGCAAGGCGCCGCTGCTCCGCAGCGGCTGGAGGGCGAGCCTGCGCCGAGGCGGCGGTCCGGGATCGGCCGGTAACGGCCGCGGGGCACCCGCGCGCCGAGCCCGCGCAGACAACGGCACCCCTGCCACCAATCCCGGGAAAGGAGGGAGGACGAGGGAGTGGACAAGCGCGTTCCACTGCTCGCAGAGCGGCTACTCGCAAGGTGCCTGGATGCGCCACGGAGGATTCACGATGCATCGCACCGGTGCGGACATGTGTTTTTTTCAGGCGTTTGCGAGCAGGCACTTTGCGAGTGGTGGAACACGCTCGGTGAGAGAAGGAGAGGAGGGGGAACTACCAAGGGACTGGAACTCGCGGCAGGAACAATTTGAGGTCGGGCATGCCCTCCTGCAGGCGGGTTTTGGAAGACAGATATAGGACAGCCAGCAACCAGCTTGAATCATCGGAAGAATATGAGACAGCTCGTCCCCAGAAGATGTTTTGACTATTTTTGAATATCCCTCCTGTAGAGGGACATGACCAACTTAAGCGGAATGGTAGTCGCCGCGGCAACGGCCCCTGCGGCGAGAGCTCCGAAGGCGGACCTGGCCAACATGAGCACGATGCCCCTGCGAGTGGCCCTGACACCACCCTGTACCACCGTTGCACGTGGTGCTCGCGCTGAAGCTCTCCCTCCTGGTACTCCCAGTCGTGCTGCCTGCGGTCGTCGTCAGGACGCCGATGCTAATGTACTGGCCGCTCGAGGAGGTGACAGCGTCCTGGCAGCACTGGCCGCTGGTTGTGCTGACGTCAAGGCGCTGGAGTGTGGACCGGCGCAATCGCAGGCGTTCACGCTGGCGTTGGTGTTGGGGTCGGTGCTGATGTTTGTAGGCGACGGCGTGTGTGCTGGCGCCGGTGATGACATCGGTGCTGGTGTAGGCGCTGCCGTTGGTGCCAGCGCAGGCGCTGGCATTCGTGCTGGTGTCGGTGCTGGCGTCAGCGCTGGCGTTGGGGCTGGCGCCATCGCAGGCGTTGATGCCGGCGTCGGTACTGATGTAGGCGTCGGCGTTGTTGCTGGCGTCGGTGATGACAACGGTGCTGGTGTAGACGCTGGCGTTGGTGCCAGCGCAGGCGCCGGCGACCGTGCTGGCGACCGTGCTGGCGTCAGTGCTGGCGTCGGCGCTGATGCAGGCGCCGGCGTCAGCGCTGGCGCAATCGCAGGCGTTCTCGCTGGCGTCGGTGCTGGCGTCAGCGCTGGCGTAGGCGCTGGCGCTTGTATGGAGGGGGAACAGGATTTGTCCCCCGAGCTCTGGCCGGCCCGGTGCCGAGTCGGCGAGCTGGTCGGTGCGGGTCTCAGCGAGCTGGTCGGTGCGGGAGTCGGCGAGCTGGGCGACGCCGAACCGGTCGGCGCGGGAGTCCGCGAGCTGGCCGGCGCGGGAGTCGGAGAGCTGGCCTTGGTGGTGCGCACAAGGGGGTGGAGGGAGGGGGTAGGGCTTCTTAGAAGGAGGCTGCTTCTTAGAAGGCGCCGGCCTTGCATCTATAGATAAGGCCCGCGCCTTCTAAGAAGCAGGGGTGCTTCTAAGAAGCCCTCCCCCCTCCCCCACCCCCCTCTGCGCGTGGTCGATGGCCGGCGCGGGAGTTGGCGAGCAGGTCTGCGCGGGAATTGACGAATTGGTCGGTGCGGGAGCCGGCGGGAGTCGGCGAGCTGCTCGCTCGGCGCGAGGGTCGGCGAGTGGTTCGGCGCGGGAGTCGAGGCGCTGGTCGGTGCGGGAGCTGGTGAGCTGTAAAACGCGGCAGCCCACGGCCTGGTCGGCGCCGAGCCATTCGGAGCGGGAGCCGGCAAGCTGGTCGGCTCGTGAGTCGGCGAGCCACTCGGCGCGCGGGTCGACTAGCCGGTCGGCGCTTGAGACGGTGAGCTGGACGGGTTGGGAGTCGGTGAGCAGGGCGGCACGTGGGTCGGCGAGTTGGTCGGCGCGGGAGTCGGTGACCTGGTCGATGCGGGAGCCGCCAAACTGGTTGGTGCGGGAGTCAGCGACCTAGTCGGCGCGGGAGTCGGCAAGCCACTCGGTGTGTACAGGAGTCGGCGAGCTCGACGGGTCGGCGATCGGCGGGCCGGACGGTGCGGAAAACGGTGAGCTGGTCGGTGCGGGAGTCAGTATTAACTGGACAGTGCGGGAACCGGCGAGCTGGACGGCGTGGGGGCCAGCAAGCTGGTCGTCACCCTGGACGCGCCAAGCTGGTCGGTGCGGGAGTCGGTGAGCTGGTCGGCGCGGGAGTCGGCGAGCTGGTCGGCGTAGGAGTCGGTAAGCCGGTCGTCGCGGGTGCCACCAAGCTGGTTGGTGCGGGAGTCGGTGAGCAGGTAGGCCAGCTCGGAGAACATAGATCGCACCCCAATGCAAGACGCAACGACAATGTGACGAATTTCGTTGCTGTAGCGGTGTGATGGTCGGCGCGGGAGCCGGCAAGATGGCACGGGCATCGGTGAGCTGGCCGGCGCGGGAACCGCC